CCCTGCACGCCAGCCTGGGCGACAGAAAAAAAAACCCAACAAAACAAAAAACCGTAAGCCTAACGCCGCCCTTCATTTTCGACGTTCCCCACGGTCCCTCGGGCCTCACGTTGCAGATCCCAACCTTGCAGCGCGTCGAACGAGAGAAAAGACTTAACGCCGTTTCTCAAAAGCAGAAACGGAAACTCTCGGCCGCACTCATTTAATCTCCCCGCCATCCCCAGAGCCCTGGCAAGACTGCCAACTGGCGCTCCACCCGCCCAACGACTTTGCTCTCCATCCCAGGGAAACCTCGACTTCCAGCGAGCGGTTCCGCCACCGGGCGCCGGCCCGGCCCCCGCCCCCTCCGCCTCCCTCGGGGCTCCGCCCCCTCCCCGGGGCCTCCACGCTCCAACACCCTATCTGCTTCCACATCCCCCCACCCCCACTCCGCGTCCGCCGGCCCCTTCCGCTCCCCGAGACTTCCTCCCTCCTCCTCACCGCAGAAACGCACCGAAGGAAACGGACGCCAGGGCTCCTCCCGGGGCTGCCACCACGGCTGCGGCAGGCGGGCCGGGGACCGGCCTAACCTGAGTGGATGGTGGAGGGCTCGGGTGAACTAGGTGGGCGGTTGGTCAGATGCGTAAGCGGTAGATTGCGAAGTTAGTCCGTTGTTGTGGATCGGCTGTCTAGTCGGCCGATCTGCCTGCTCGCCCGGCCTGCCCTTTCCTGCCTGTCGCCTGTGCCACCACAGCCGCCGCCGCCAACTCCCGCTCGGCGTCCAAAACAAAATGGCCGCCACGTCCAGGGCGTTGTGGGACCGGCTAAAATGGCGTCGACGCAATTACGTCAGGCGTCATCTGCGCACCGCTAAAGGGCGGGAAAGGCTTGCGGTACGCTGGCGTAGAGATCAGAGGCGGGGCCAGAGGAAGAAGGCGGGGCTTTAGCAAAGGTTCCTTGGTGTTACGGCAGCGCTCCGCCCTCAAGAGGGCGTGGCAAGTGGCCTTGTAGTTGAGTCCCTCAGGGGCTTCACGCTGCAGTCTTCTGGAATAGTTCTAGTCTGCGCTGCAGAGGGGGAATTTGGGTCGCACGTTGTCTCGTCTCCCTGCCCCCTAGCCTAGGTTTGCTAGAACTGTGTACACGAGCCTTGCCTCGGTTTTTTCTGGACCACCGGGCCCGGGTTATTTGCACTGACTTTTCCTCCTGCCCATCTGTGTTGTGAGGTGTCATAAAAACTCCAGCCAGCCAGGCGCGGTGGCTCACGTCTGTAATCCCAGCCCTCTGGGAGGCCGAGGCAAGAGGATTGCCTGAGCCCAGGGGTTCCAGACTAGCCTGGGCAACCTGGAGAGACCTCATCTCTACAATAAATAAAAAAATTAGCTTGATCTTGACTACTGGCCTTAAGTGATCCTTCTGCCTCGGCCTCCTAAACTGCTGAGATTACAGGCATGAGCCACCACATCTGTTTAATTCTTCTTTAGGGGAACATTTGCATCCCTTATTCCCCTTCCATGTCCTCCCTCCTCAATTGCCATCTGTGTGGATGTTGATGCAGACTTACAAATAGATTTTTCTTTTTTTTTTTTTAAAGACAGGGCCTGGGGGGTGCGAACACAACATTAATAAGGGTACCTGATCTCAGACCAGGCAAACTGGGGACCAGAGGGAGGCCCAGACTTTACTTGTATGATGATCACTTGTATACCTGATCCTGAATTGTACTGCACATCTTTAAAATTAAAAAAAAATTTAAAAAGACAGGGCCTTACTCAGTCACACGGGGTAGAGCACAGTAGCGTGATCATAGCTCACTGCAGCCTCAAACTCCTGGGCTCAAGGGATCCTACCCAACTCAGCGTCCTGAGTAGCTGGGATTACAGGTAGGCACCACCACGCCCGCCTTGGCAAAGGGACTTTTTTTCTTTATGACTGCATGCACAATAAAGTGCTCAAATGTTTGAGGAATGAGTGAACAAACACATCTTCAGCCCTTTCTCTGCCCAATGTGACCTCCGGATCCTTTCATTTTCTTTCCTGGCACTTAAGTGTATATGTGTGTTGAATGGCCCAACATCCTTACTGACCTTTACCTGTGTGAAGATGAGCATCCTGTTTATTTTGCTTACTGCTGTGTCCCCAGTTCCTTACACACAATGTTCCTTAAACACGTGGTATGACTCCAGTAAATATTGGCGGAAGGTTGGGAGGAGATTCTTCTGGTTTTATAACCTGAGAAGCTGATGTCTCCTCCACTTCCTCCTTGAACTCACACATTCCTGGGCTTTGAGCATTCCTCAAGTTGGAAGATGTAATGTACCTTCACCTCTCTCAAAATAAGACTCCTCCCCATATAGGGGGAGTTAGGAGTGAAGAGCTCTCACTTCTCCACCCACTTTCAGACCCCAGTGGAAACAGACATCAGAAGGCTGTTGAGAGAGGAGCCTTTAATGAAAGATGAGTTTCAGGCCTGGACGACTACTCTTGCGCCCTTGGTGTGTGGGGGGTTGGGGTGGGCGAGGGTATGGGGAGGGATAAGGGGGGTGAGTTGGAAGCAGGATAAAAGGCAGGTCTGGCAGGGCGGAGGGGAAGGGCGCTGCCCACTGGGGCCATCTGCTCAGCTGTTCTCCCAAAAGAAGTTGTTACAGGCCACTGTGAGAGCAGCCACCAGCACCACGTACTCCTGGAAGTCTACCTCCCCATCTCCATTCTCGTCCAGCTCCTTCATCACCTTGTCCACAGCATCCGCATCCTTCTGTGCCTGTGGTGGAGGAGAGGGAGAGGGAGGTGTATAGCACTAAGTCAGGGGCAAGGGAGGTTGTTGAGGAGAAAGAGGCAGAGATGAGTGAGAGGAGCTACATCTAATTATGGGACTCTTCAGCTGCCCTCAAAACACCCGAGGGCTCTGGTGCCTACAGAACAAGCTCCCTAACCTGGCAGAAATAATAATGACATCAGCTACCATATGTTGAGTGCTTACAGTGCAGCAAGCACTACATTCAGAGTTGTTTGTTTTTTGAGTGGGAGCATCACTTTTTCCACCCTGCCTGGAGTGCAGTGGCATGCTGCTCCGGGCCACCGCAGCCTCGACCTGCTGGACTCTGGCGATCCTTCCGCCTCAGCCTTCCAAGTAGCTGGAACTACAGGCACGCACTACCATGCCCGGCTAATTTTTTGATTTATTATAGAGACAAAGTCTCGCCATGTTGTCCAGGCTGGTCTCGAACCTGCGGGCTCAGACAATCCTCTTGCCTCGTCTCCCAAAGTGCTGAGATTACAGGCATGAGTCACCACGCCCGGTTTATACTAGGAGCTTTACAAGCATTGTGCACTTTAATTCTAATACAAATCATGGTGCACAGTGATTCATGCTTGTAATCTTAGCACTTTGGGATACTGCTTGAGCCCAGGGGTTTGAGACTAGCTTGGGCAACATAGACCCTGTATCTACAAAAAAAATTAAAAAATTAGCCAGGCATGGTGACACATGCCTATAGTCCCAGCTATTCAGGATGCTGAGGCAGAAGAACTGCCTGAGCCCAGGAGGTTGAGGCTGCAGTGAGCCATGATTGTGCTAGATTGAGTGACAAGAGTGAGACTCTGACTCAAAGTAAAAGAACTGGGCATGGTGGCTCATGCCTGTAATTCCAGCGCTTTGGGAGGCCAAGGCGGGAGGATCACTTGAGGCCAGGAGTTCAAGACCAGCCTGGCTAACATAATGAGACCTCATCTCTACCAAAAAAATAAATAAAATAAAAATTAAAAAAATAAAATAGCTGGGCGCGGTGGTTCATGCCTGTAATTCCAGCACTTTGGGAGGCAGAGATGAGAGAATTGCCTGACCTAGGGGTTCAAGACCAGCCTGGGCAACTTGGTGAGATCCTGTCTCTGCAACAAATAAAAAAAGAAGGCCGGGCTCAGTGGCTCAGTCTGTAACCCTAGCACTTTGGGAGGCTGAGGCGAGTGGATTGCCTGAGCCCATGAGTTTGAGACCAGCCCAGGCAACTTGGCAAGACCTCTGAGGTGGACAGATTGCCAGAACCCAGCAGGTCAATGCTGGGGTGGCCGTGAGCGTGCCACTACACTCCAGCCTGAGCGATGGAGTGGGACTCCAACTCAAATAAATAAATAAATAAAATAAAATTAGCCAGGCATGGTGGTGCGCGTTTGTAGTTCCAGGAAGGCTGAGGTGGAAGGATCGCCTGAGCCCAGTAGATCGAGGCTGTGGTGGCCGTGAGTGTGTCACTGCACTCCAGACTGGGTGAGACTCTGACTCAAAAAATAAACAAACAAAAACCTCAAAGCTGGTGCACTTCCTCCTATGTCTTGACTTCATGGCCCCTGTGAGCATCTGCAGTCTACTCTTCCGTGTCCTTCATGCCAGTCAGATGAAACTCCTGGGTGTGCGCCTCATTCTTTTTTCTCCCATGCTTCTGTTCATGCAGATACCTCCTCCTAAAATGTCTACATTCATCCCAAAATCTTCCAATGGAAACCCATGGCTTAAGTGCCACCTCTTCAGAGAAGCTGTTTCATTTCAGTCCGGTCAATAGTCTCCGATAACCTTTTTGGGAACCTCTGCTAAGGCTCTGTGTACTTCCTGGAGTTAATGGTTTACTTTTCTGTGTCTGTCTTTCACTTCTGGGGTGTGAGCCTTATTACTGGTGAATCTACATAGGGGACAGCACTTAACATGTGATCAGTGAACCCAGGCATCTGGCTTGATCAGGAGGAGTAGGAGAGCCTAAGAAACCTGGGAGAGGAGCCTGGGAGAACTTGGGAGAGAAGCCCTAGAGAGGCGGGCAGAGGGCCGGGAGGTGCCTGCCGCATTCCCCCTCCCCTCGCCCACTCCACCCTGCACCCCCATGCTGTGCTCACATCCAGGAAGCCGGAGAGCTCCGTCTGCAGCAGCTCTTTCAGCTCCTTCTTGTTCAGCTTGTACTTGTCCCCCTCCTTGCCCGAGTGGGCGTGGAACACGTTGATGAGGGTCTCCATCGCCGTCTCCAGCTCAGAGCCCATTGCGGCAGTGCACCTACCCACCCCACGGTCGACATGAGCTGGGGACCAGGCCAGGGTATCTGAGGTCCCACTGAGGGGAGCCCTCAGGCCCGTCCCTGGTCCCACAGCTCAGATAGCCATGAGAGTGGAGCCCCACTGTAATGGATCTTTATGGAGATTTTACAGTTTGGGGGAAGCCCCAACAGACCTAAATCCGGACCTGTTCTCTGTGTCCCTCAATCTGTTCCCAACCAGAGGGAGTCAGGGTTGGGTGTGGAGAGAGCAGCTGGAGCTGGGCTGGCTCTTGAGGCCTGCAGTAGACGTCTGCAGTGGCCTCCTGGGCAGAGACTGAGGAGGGTGGGGCAGGCAGGAGTGGTCACAGGACCCGGCCAGGCTTCCGCTGGCTCTATTTTTACCCTGGCCCTTGCCTGCCTCGCACAGCCAGGCTCTGCTATTGGGGGTGGTGGTCTGGGGTCCCCTCTACAGCCTTGCCTGTGCTGCACATCCCCACAAGAAGTCAGTTTGGTACCCTGGCTGAGCCTGATGGAGGAGGTGGCAGCCCGAGTGGGTGGTCTAATTTTTCTTGGGGAGGGGGGATCTCACTGCCCCTGAGCTTCCTTTTGATAGCATGGGGGCCCCTTGTGGTCCCTCAGCTGTGCTCTTTCCTGAACATGTCATTTAATTTCTCTAGGGCATGCCTCACAGTACCTCCAGCTTGATTCCTCCTACTTCTTTGCAAAATTATCCCTTCTATGTAGCAGGTGGTGAGGAGGAAGAGAGGACTGTCTGAGCCTTTTCCCTGGAGCCAGGGCTCTCAGGGAGGGGGAGGGGAGACCTGCAGGCCTTGTCCCCATGGCTGCCCATGCCTCATTGATGTGGAGATAGTGAAAGTGGGTGGATGGGGCTGGTATGTGTTGGGAGGTAAAGGGCTGAGTGCATAAGGTCCTCTGAGTTCAAGGGACTTGTAGAGAACAGAAGAATGAAGGGGTCTGTTGAGAGGAAACTGCCAAGTCAGGGGGCCCCTTTCCCTTGGCGCTGGGACAGTAGGTCCCTCCACAGCCCCAGGGGGCAGCTCAGGTGTCTCGGATCAGGTGTCCCCATCCCTTCCCAGGCCTAGGGGCCTGGACAATAGACCCCGATCAGATGACACCCCAGCTCTTCAATGGGGCCCTTGTGAGTGTCACCTGAACTCCGGACATGAGAAGCGGTTGTCACAGAGACAGGGGGAGATGGAACCCAAGCTGGGGCTGATGGAGGGGATAAGGGGCGCTCGAGAGAGGGATGCTGGTGGCTCGATTACCAGCCCCTTGTGGGGAGGGGCACCTGGAGGTTGCCTGGAGCCCTAGAGCAGCCTGGGATTTTAGGTGGGGACAGTTCTGAGAAGACCTGGGGCAGATGGGAAAACAGAAAAGAATTAGGGGAAAGAGTCTGGAGGTCTGGGCGAAAATGGAGAGGAGGAGAAAGGGGAGGTCCTGAGGAGATAAAGTTGAGAGGGGGCACAGCACCCTGGAGCCCCCCTTCCTGATATCACATGAGCCATGCTCTGCCACCCCCAGGCTTCTCAGGGACCTGAGCTCTTGGCAAGGCTGGGTGGGAGCGGCTGAGGCTGAAAGGGAGGGGGCAGAAACAGCTGCTGTATTTGCTCTCTTATTCTTAACCCATGGGAGGCAAGATGAGGGACTGGGTCTCCTCCCCAACACCTGGGAGACTGAGGGGCCCTGGGCAAGGGACATGAAGGCTCTGTGTGTGAGGGCCAAGTGGCCTGGAAGCTCCGTGGCGGGTTCCCCACCTACTTTCTCACTTTTGAACCCCCAGCTATCTCTCTAACCTCTGCTAGCCTCTCCTTACCCCCTTCCAAACCCTGTCTCCCCCAAATCCCAATCTGCCCTCACTCCAACTCTCCCGGACCCTCAGTGTGCCACAGTGCCTTTATCCCTAGACTCTTGAAGCTCCTCTAAATTCCCCTTTCCCCCAGCTGGTCAGGCCAGGGACCTAGCCCAGGTGGGTAGGATACTCACGGTCGGCCTGGGCCTGAGGTGGGAGCAGATTCTGGACAGACAGATGGACGAGGCTGCAACTGTGGCTACTGAAGCTGTGTGGGGAGACCTGTCTTCAGCCGTCCCTCCCCCGCTGACCCCCCCAGCGGCTCCACCCCTTCACAGACAGACACCCAGTGGGGCAAGGGGCCAGGAGTGGACAGAGGCGCCCTCTGTCTCCTGGGCTGAAACAGGCTGCCCTGTGTCTCTTCCCCAGCCTTGGTTGACCCCCCTTCTTCCTCCCTGGGCACCAGTGGTACAGGAGGAAGGAGGTGGGAAGGAGGTTCTGGGAGGGACACTGAGATGTCTCATGCCCAGCTCAGCTCAGCTCAGTGGTCATGCAGCCCCTGCAGCTGGCTGGGCTGATTGGGCAGGGAAAGGGGAGGATTCCACTGAGGGGAGTCCCAGTCTGAGGCTCCTCCATGGGGTCTCACTGAGGGACCCCTCAGTGAGTAAGTTAGTCTTGGGAGTCTCCCTGAGGGATTTTAGTTTGGGATCCAGGTCTCAGCTGGGATTCTTCTGTTTGTGAGGTCTCAGTCTGGGGTTCTCTGAGTGGTTTTGGTCTGCAGGTTCCTTTGCGGGGCCTCATTCTGAGACGCCTCTGTGCTGTATCTCAGACTGGGTCTTTCAGTGCTGTGCTCCCTGTTTTTTTTGGTTTGTTTTTTTTTAGTTGGAGTCTCACTCTGTCGCCTGGACTGGAGTGCAGTGGCACGCTCCCAGCCACCACAGCCTCAACCTGCTGGACTCCGGTGATCCTTCCGCCTCAGCCTTCCAAGTAGCCGAAACTACATGCACGTGCTACCACACCCGGCTAATTTTTTTGATTTACTGTAGAGACGAGGTCTCGCCAAATTGCCCGGGTGGGTCTCGAAACTGCAGACTCCGGCAATCCACTCGCCTCGGCCTCCCAAAGTGCTGGGATTACAGGCTGAGTCACCGAGCCTGGCCTTAGTTGATTTTTGTTTTTTTTTTTGAGTTGGAGTCTCACTCTGTCGCCCAGACTGGAGTGCAGTGGCCGCTCCCGACCACCGCAGGCTCGACCTGCTGGGCTGC